ATGTATATGTGTATATATATAGGAAAAAAAACAATAAAAGGTTTGACTCCACAAACATGCTTTGCACCATAAAAAATGACTTTTGTTAGTTGGCCCAGTAACTCATGTATTTGGGTTATTTAATTAAATTGTATTGAATTAATGAAACATTTGTGTGTAGAAATGTAAAAGTATGTGGTCACAAAGACTGTAAGTGAACATCAGTTGGTTGGTAACGTGTGTCGGTGTGTTTTCAGAGTTCTTTGAGGAGTGTATCTGTGCAGCAGAGATCGAGGCGAAGCTTCCAGCCATAATGAAGAATGCTGTGTATCTTCACAAAGCTGCAGCACGCAGAATTAAGAGCTGTCGAGTCCAGAGAAGAGCCTCCAGACGCCATTGGTGTAAGTTTGTATCAGTTCCAATAAGTTTATTTATATACAGTAGCTCCAAGTCACAGCAAACATCAGCTCAGGGCACTGTACTAAAAAAACAGTATCAATCTAAGGAAGCCAACAGTTTGTGTTGAATCTTCACTTCATCACAGTCTCCATCCTGAACACTGGCAGCAGTGGAGTCTCTGATGTTTCCACAGTTTTCTTCTTGTACACTCATGGAGAGTTGGAGCTTTGTTCTTTATGGATGTTTGATGGATGAATAGTTATAGCTTGGTTGGTGGATGGATGTTTGATGGATGAATAGTTATAGCTTGGTTGGCGGATGGATGTTTGATGGACAGATGTTCAGTGATGAGGGATGTGTGTTGGCTGAGGATGGATGGTTTTAATATTTACTACAATTGTAACACAAGATGTCTCCTGGCAACTGCACGTGAAGTAGAACCAGTTTTACAGGAGCTTTTAACAGTGGTGGGTAGCACTAATCCAAAAATTAGCTCCGCAATTTCTAAAGTGCTTTTAGTGTAGAAAAACTAGCAGTAGCTAATTTTAAAGCATGAGTTCAATTTGACTCTTACTAGCTGACAATAATTCATGTACAATGTATGAACAACACTGCCAACTAGTGGTGTATGAGCTCTTTTACAGATTAATCCTACAACCACTGATTACTGGAGATGTGATTTCCTGA